TTGGTTGTTGGATTTTTAGAAAGTTTATATGTCGAAATGGTCCTGCCTCCCAACTGTCCGGCCTGGCTGATCCTTATTGATAGAACTCTCAACATTCATTAGGATTAGTGAAGGATCTAACTTTCATTACCAGAATGTCATAGAGATTAATAGGTTAAGGCATTATAGGTTAATACTTGTTCGGTGCATTATCCGCTAGTTTAGTCACAAGTAGAATCGCCTAGATACCTGTCAATCTTCCGGATAATTATCCAGGTGAGTTATCTCACTATACCATGTAGTAAAATATATATTCATGTGTGTTAAGATAAAGAGTTAGTAGAGTGGAGCCAACAGTATAGCCGCTATGTTCTTGTATCAGTGGAACTTAATGTGTAACCTCTATGTATGGTTATGTATGTTAGGCGGGGTCTGCCATATAATCTGGGCGGGGCCCTTTATATATGTTATGCGGTGCCCAATTGGTAATTTGGGCGTGGCCTATTGTGTAGTTGCGTGGGGCCCATGTAATTTGGGCAACGCCCATTTGTATGCATGTATATGTATTGTGGTATATGGTATCTTGGGGAACTTAGTATATGGTATTTTGGGGAACTCAGTAAGCCTAACACTTACCTAGTTGTTATAAATGTTTATCAGATATTTCATTGGTTTGTGAGAAGGGAAAAGGTTCGACTATGCACATGCGCATTCGCAACTTTTTTTCGTTAAATGTTATTATATTCTGATATATTAATAAGTACAAATGAAAAATTTTTGTTTGAAAATCGGGACGTTACAACGAAGAACAAGTTTGGGATGCATAAAACACATTCCGGACCTGCTATAGGTTTTGAAATTTGATTTACGATCAACCTGAAACAAAAGAAAAACATTCAAGAATGTCTTAGGAATGTGATGAACATTCAAGAATGCTGAAATGTTCATCACAATTCTTTTTAGAACACTATTTAACTTATGATTTACCTTAAAGTTAATTTGTTTATTTTTATTTGCAGCATGACAAGATAATTGAAGCATTAATTACACTATCTTGCAAACCTGCAACTGCTATAGATATTCTTGCAACATTCAAAGACAGAAGACCACACGATACTATGTTCCGAATGACCTGTTTTGGGATATGGTTAGATATTCCTACAGAGGTAGAAGGGGATCCTTTACTTCTACATTACGTGTTTTTCCACGAAGTTATGACAAAATCTCGAAGCAAAGTAGCGGAAATGATTTTTGAGATCGGGGGTACAAGGTGACTTTCAGGAAGAAATAATTATGTCTTCTCACCGGCTTTCACTTTGGTGAATATTTTCCTGCCACCGTTTTTGGCACCGCCTTCCTATTCCATGTCTTTCCTATGGTTAAGAAGAATGCCTCCGTGAAATTAGAACAGGTGGTTCATATTTTTTGATAATTCTCTTAATGACTTATCGGACAAGGATACGGTCTGTGTACGACTTCGATAAATGTTAGAGAAGAGTTTCAATAGGCGGTTACCTCGCCAGCCTATAATAGTGGAGTATTTCTCTTTGCTATCCAACATTGATGAATTCAACATGTATCATGTTGTTAATTTATAATTATCATTAATAATATTTTTTTGCAAATTTAATTATGATTTTTTTAATGCTGCGGATATCCATGGAAAGGATAATTTGGAATCAGTTGTACTGTCAACTATGCATTGTATTCGATAAGGTAAAAAATCTTATACATCTAGTGCTACCAAAACCTAAAAAACCACCAAAAATAGTGTACACCCTAAATGGATTTTCATACGCTTTTAAACTAAAATACATGATTAACAATTAAACTTTTCGTGTCTGTTAATATTCTAATACATGATTTTTTTTTCCAGAAATGGATTCTTTGAGAGGTTTCATGTGAATAGTTTGTTTGGTAACCGACAACCAAATGTGATCCCTTTGGCTATTTGATGGTCGAAACTGAAGAAGATGCATGTAGATCAGTTCAAGAAGTTTTTAATCATTGACGATATATGATTACATATATAATTATACTTTACACATATATTTATAATTTACACATATTTATAAAGAAGTTGGAGCTGACAACAGATGAGAATCATGTTGAATGGTGGGCTTTTAGCTTGGCGTGGATTGAGCGCGATGCTATTGCTACCACATATGTTTATAGGACACCTTTCTAACACTGTCACATCGAAACTCATGCATATTTATAACTTTACAATTTTTAGCAGGATAATAAACTTATAAAGAAGTTGGAGCTGACAGTAAAGGAGAATCGTGCTAAACGGTGAACTTTTAGCTCAATGTGGATTGAGTGCCCTGCTGTAACTACCATAGAAGTTTATAGGGAACCTTTCTAACACCATCACCTCCAAACTCATCTACCATGAGCCTCGACAAAAGAAGACACGGTGAGATGTTACCAAAGGTTAATACACATCTGACCAAATTATTATTCGGTTGCAAAATGTGGTTCGTGAATCTCACAAGCATATTGCACAATTAGAAGCTATGGTAGCCATGATTCTAAAATTTATTAATAAGGGTGTTGGAAAATATGTTGGTACTGTGAAGGGGGTGGAGGTACTTTGTTCATTATTTCACTCTCGTACATATTTTTATTTAACTTTATGGTATACCTATTATTGCATCGTTTATAATTAAATGAACCGTATATGCACTTACCATGGATGATGTTGGTACCACATACAACAATAACTTATGGGACGATGAATATGGGTCAGGTACACCTGAAAACCATCGAATGATGAAACTAAACAAATGTCTGCATATAACCAGTCGTAGGATGTAAATGATATTCCTTGTGAGCAATACAAAACACCTACAACACCTCTTCGGTGATCGCATCGAGTAAAACATGTATCCGTAAAGCATAATTCCCCATGGATATAGATGAAGAAGAAAGGTTTTGCTCACAAACAACCAACACTATTGGACAGTTATATAGATCTTACCATTCATACTTAATATAAAGAAATGGATGCTTCAATATTGTTTTCGCACAATTTATCACTGGTATATTGATGATTGAGTTTTGGGCGCGCTTATATGGTACAGTCTCTTAGGCTGGTTGGAATGTGATGTAAGTTATATCCATATGTGATCATTAATTAATATAAATATGGTAACAATACTAACTTTATTGTATACATGTGTTTATTGGCAGCACATCATGATGTGAGTCTCATTGTAAACATAGCATAGACCGGATGATGCTTGATGGACATTTGTGTTGACAGTATTCAACACAGATGCATATGGTTGATGTATCTATTTATCGGACTTGGTCAGAGCGCGATACGGTATACTTGTGTTTCAAATAAATTACCCAAGTAATAGTCATTTATAATAAAATATTATTCGACAATTGGTTAATTCCAAATTTTTTTGCAACTTTACATCCTATAAATATACCGAATGTCCACTGGTTTTTGGGTGTTCCGGATTTCAAGAAATTGAAAATGACTATATACGATAGTTACTGGAAGAGTGGCCATTATTCAAAAGATCCATCTTGGTTTATAGATATGCGAGCCCATATCAACAAACTCCTAGTGGGTATCAATTTTTGGGGTCCCAAACCCACTTATCTAATCCCTATTGAGAGTTTTAAAATCACCCTTGAAAAGGGCACATGCACCATAACAGCCTGACAAAAAAAGGGATTACAGGATGTTTTTGTGTTGGTTCATAGAGATGTTGATCAAGGTGAAATCATTGATTATACAGGGTTCAACCGGAACCCATGCCATATCACATGCGATTGACGAAATTTTTTTGGCTTACGAAGAAAAAGTACGGGTCCACTTAAACGTTGTGCTATTATTTAAAACATATTTAATCTTATGTAATTATTACTTCTGATAGATTTAAAGCTTTCAAACACTGTTCTTATTTTCAATATATATAGTTTATAATGTAAATAGTATATAAAACCATAAATATATGGCCATAAATAAGCAAACAAAATTAACACACAACACATATAAAACCATAAATAAACAAAAATAATTACCACACAAAACAAAAATGACCATAAATATATAACCATAAATAAACAAACAAAATTAACACAAATCACATATAAAACCATAAATAAACAAAAAATAATTTCCACACAAAACAAAAATAACACACAAAAATATTAAATTTTCAAAACAAACTAATAAAAAAATTAACGCTTTCGGAACACTTCTCTGGAATCCTAATCTAATATCCCGAGCATCATCCCGGCATGCTTGGTCTAGACATACCGGTCATTTTACAAAAATTTAAAAATGTTCCGATTTTTTTTCCAAAGGGTTCATTTATATATACGAGTTAGATTATTTGATTTCCATAACAATTATTACCTACTCATAAACATGAAATTCTTTTATCTTTATATATTTTCGATGTTTTTTTTTATTATTTTAACATGTACAAACTTATCGGTTTACACAAACTTTATATTTTTTTGGAAACGACAAATGATTCAACGGAAACCTCTACCCAATATTCCAGAGTAGACCGCGAGTTCGAGCTCCGCAAAGCGGGCAAACCCAGCCCCCAAGGGGATTTCCAAGGAAAATTCCCCCACACATGGGTAATATTGCAAGTGGCGCACAAATTTTGTTTTACCGGGTTTGAAACCCCGACCTCAAACCCACATGAGGATGTAAACCCTATGCATCAAGCCGGTAAAGAATATGATAACATCCATAGATGTATGTATCATTCTACATTCTACAAGACTTCAATAAATATGATAATCTCATAGATGTATCATAATATCCATATATATATGAATAAGGAATTTTTTGCATAACTCTCTATAATTATGGTTAAAATTTAAACATGACTATAAAAAAGTATTCAGATCATTTAAACGAAATTACAACCAAAATCTCATCATTTTTACGAAAAATCAAAAATTAAAACAATCTAACACAAATGAAATTCAAAAATTTCTTAGAACTACCATTATGATTACGATTTCCATTACATGGTAAATTAGTCCTTTAATATCGACGACGTACCCGAGAGGGCACGTGGCGACATGTGCCAACCTGCTTCAAATAGTTCGTAGATTGGATCTTCAGACTTGAGAATTTCTTCGTTATTAATTTCCGTTGTTGCAGAATATAAATCTCCATTACTATCTTCCATGTTATTCTTTTCTTTTTTCAGATCATCCTCATCGTTCTCTTCCGACCACTTCTCCACCATTTCCTCCTCCTCACTTAACTCGCAACTAAACTCGCAGGTCGTTTTTGATGAATCAACAACATCGTCTTCTTGGGAAGAGTTTTCTAGTTCGATTCTATAACCATGACACGTGATATCAATCACGATTTCCTTCTCATCTTTATGAAAAAACCTATCAAGAAAGGGTACACGTTGCATGATCTTTGGAACATCATGGTCCATGAAATCCTCAAACTTTGGAGGTAAAGATTCTGATGATCGTATGAATTCATCGATTTTGTCAAAGAAACGGGATGATGAAGGGAAAAGGGTTTCGATTAGATCTTCGAATACCATGATATGATCATCAAAAAATGATAATATTGTTAGCATTTGATGTTCGATTGCACACAAGATCTTCGCATTTTTTCCTTTTGGGTTTCTGAAAATGTGAAATCTTGTTGAAACTTTTTGCAGGAATGATAAGAGTAAGGTTCCGAGAGTGAATAATAATGGACGTCGGCGAGGAATCATTGTGGTTTCCGGTGGTGGCGGCTGGTGAATGGCTGATTGAAAGTTGTTGAAAGCTAAGAAATGTGTTCGGATAAAAATGGAAACGAGACCCATAAAATCACTATTTGATGAAACGAAGCCATTGATGAACGAAGGGTTTGGCTGTCGATAAAGACATTGGGGAAAACATGGGTTGTTGCAAAAGTTTGTCATGCACGAGTAGAAATGCGATCTGAATGTTAGGAAAATTTAGTGCCAATTGACAAGGGAAGGTGGAGATGTTTTAGTTAGAATTCTAACCGATAGATTCGGACAATGTTAGTGTTCCTTTCATATATGTAATTTATGCAATAAAAGTTATATTATCAAGCTTCTATTCATCCACAGATTTTTTTTAAAGAAAGACAATTATGCCCTCGTTAATATTAATTTAGAATATATATATATATATATATATATATATATATATATATATATATATATATATATATATATATATTAGCCGTTTACCCGCGTCAAGCGACGGGTGCGGATTATTCTTTCATAAATTAGTTTATAGAGGCGATAAGTTTTTTTGTGCAAATGGTTTACTACGTCTAAACAATTATCAATAGTGTAATGCTAGCAGAAACGTAATCAATAAGAATTAAAAATGAAAAATTGGATTATTTACAAATATACATTGTGACAACCCGAAATTTTTTGCCTTGTGATGTTCAGCCATTCAATTCAACCGAGTGTCAGACCCGTTCCTGCTATCAGTTAGCATTGTTTAGAGTCTCTTTAAGGGTTCTAAGCTCAGTACATTCAAGCATTGGGTTTAGGGAAGTGTCAGCTAAAGTTCCTCGCGTTGAAATCGAGCCGAACACTCCATCAGAGGGAGTGTACGACCGTACACATGAGTGTACGGCCGTACACATGAGTGTACGACCGTACACCCATGTTGGCCGTACACAACCCCCATATGTAGGGCATCCCCTTCATTTCTAGTCATTTCTTCAGTTTCCAAGTCAAGAACTCGAGTTTTCTCTCAACTATCATCAAGCTTTTCACCCCGATCTTCAAGAATGTAAGCCTTTCTTCCTTTTGATTAGTTGTTATCCTTCTTAACCTAGTAACTGTTGGGTTTTCTACGCATCAAATACACTCTAAAACTAGGCAGCGGAAAAATCGAAACAACGATATACCTAAGTGTACATGCATCATATGGATCTATGGCTTCATGCGAATTACATCAACCCTAGAAAACTAAAACATAAGTAAGAAAACATACCTCTTATGTAGCCCTTGATCTCCATGCTTAAGATCTTGAACCTCCATGAAGTTGCTTGGATGAAAGGACCCAAACCAGAATCCCTCTAATGGTATCACACCCAATGACACCAAAGAGTATAATAAAAATAACTAGGAGAATGGTCAATTTCATAAACCCAAAGGAGTTAGAAATCGTCCCTAAGAGGGGAAGGAAGAAGGGTTGGCGAAACTTCAAGCCAAGGTGCAAGGAGGATTGAAATCCCTAAGGCCCTATTTATAGCCTTGGATGCCTCCTTAGGTTTAGTACTCCTTCCCATGTGGGATGGAGGCCTAACCACGAAATTTCACTCCTTTCCCATGTGGGATGGAGTAATTTTCATCCAACCCTAATTCCATAAGGTTCTGGAACATTCCTGATTAACCAACTATCGATTAATGAACATTCAACCCTTTAATTAATTAAACTGTTAATTAATTCCCAAAATATATTTCCAATTAGTTTCTAATTAATTATTAACCTAAATAATTAATAAACTAATTTCTCCTTTATTTATTCTACTCAATTTGGGTCTTGAGGGCAACCCAAAAGGACCCTGCTATTATTAGAAATATGACCAATAGTTAATGACCTTGGACACTATTCCAACAGTCTCCCACTTGGACAAGTCATCAACTATACGAGGACCAATATTTCTCAATAATCAACAGAGAGTTAGCCATCCAATGCAACTACCGAACTCTTGATCTAATCAAGATTCAACCCTTAGATAAGTGATCAACTATCCCTTCGTTCTATGATATCTGTATGAATTCGAGACATGGATAATGGTCAATCTCAAGAATTCAAGATTATGTTTCTCGAAATAGATTTGTGACGACTGCATCTGACTACTAAATTGAACACATCAATTCCAGTCAGGGCTCGGCCAAGCACTTTAGATGTCAGCACCAAATCATCGAGGGACCCATAGATATCGCTTCTCCTATTAAGGCACAAGGAACGAATAAACTTCGACTATATAGTTTTTGTCTATTTCATCATGTCACACATGGACATACCCTTTATAACTACCAGTTACGATTAGCGTTGGAGTAGACCAATGCATAACGGAATCATAGAGCAAAACCCCACATGTATCTAGGTTTGAAGAATAGAAGATATTATCGTCTTAGAATTACTCGTGACTGAATCCATGAAGTAATCTCTAAGCGTGGGTTGGTCCAATACTTAAATCTCTATTAAGCACTCATGAGTGTTAGCGCAATCTCTATGCTATGTCCAATCAATATGGACAATCCACTAATACTCATGACAGTCTTGAATCACTACTTACTTCCAAGAGTATGACCGACTGTGGACGTTTGAGTAAATCAATACTCGGGAAGTGGGTTCCAAACATGAAAAAGTGAGAATGCAGTGATAGGCTAACTGAAATGACCGAAATCCATCATATATTAAGATCACCACTTAATAATCGCCAAATCAAATTAAAACTTATACCGCTTAAAGTTCTCGGGTTTTTAAAACAAACCAAACTAAGAGTGTTTAAGCCAATTCATTTACAAATCTAATGCCTCTCGACTTTGTCTGACTGTCAGACATGGTCAATGACATCGGCTTATGGAATGGATCGACAAGATTATCTTTCGATATGAATTATTGACTATGATGTCTTTACATTTGACTCACCATCAAATGTGTTGGTACTTACTAAGTATGTTTCATGTGAGCTCGTGTGACTTGGGATCCATACTCGAGGTAAGTTCACCCAAAGTCACAAGAAACTTCATAAGGACAATCAATGATTGAATTTCAACAAAGATGTCACTAATGAATCTCTTTCAGTCACATTGTCCACTTTGCAATTTAACCAACTGCAATATACTCTAAGTATGTTAAATCCACTATGGTGTATTACCTGGTACTCTTTCAAGCTAATATATCACCATTCAGTAAAAGCACGAATTCTGACTGCGAACGGAATTGCCTTTATTAGTGCGGAACTTAGCATCAATGTAACTCTTACAATGATCTCTTCCATACTATCAAGATCATCTCTTCTATCCTCCAAGGATACTTAAGAATGTTCTTGATCTTGATTCATTGATTCTTGCCAAATTAATCTAATCAAACTTGTCATGTTCAAGGCATACGAGTCATTAGATCTAGTACATGTCATGGCATTTATGATCGATCCCATAGCAGAAGCATGTGGGACACGACTCATTTGCTTTAGCTCAATAGTAGAACTAGGACATTAACATTGCTCAATGTCATGCCAGCCTAAACTCCTTTTTGAGTTCTGCATGTCGAGTTTCCTCAACATTCAATGTACTTTGGCTTAATCCAATGAATCACTCTGATCTATCTCCATAGATCCTTATTATGTACGTGTTTTGTATCTCCCATGTATATCATAGCGAAACAGTTCTCATACCAAGCCAAGCTTTTACACCTGCTAATTTAGAATATAGTTTCCTATAAATCGTACATTGTTTATGTACAATACAAGGGTGACTATAGTGCTCCCACTAGCATTGACATATATATGGCTTATCTATGTTTCTCAAAATTCAAACTCCTGGAACTTTTCTCATTGAAACAAAGATTCCAATTACTCCCACTAGCTTTGACATATATATGGCTTATATTTATTTCTTGAAATTCAAACTCCTTGAACTTTCTCATTGAAATAATGATCCCACTTGCGAGATGCTTATTTTGGTCCATAAATGAACTTGTTAAGCTTACACATCCTTCAAAACCTATCTTGGTTTGATTATGTTTTTGTTCCTATCCATTCTTGTTTCTTATTGAAGATCCACTTGCACCTAAGGGTTAAGGTCGAGTGCTTGATCTACCAAATTACAACATATATGGATTGAATCTCGCTTTCCATTTCCTCCTTCTATGTTGTAGCCTTTAGGGCCTACCATAGCTTCCGATAGTTGGTACACTCGGATTGCTATCTACCAGTGACTCATATACCTTAGTAATATAAGCTCTTATAGAACTAGGTTCATGACGTCTTCTATCAGATCTATAAGGAAAAAGTGGAAATATGTCGGTTTCCTTAATAGTTCTTTCAATTCCAAATTGAATTTTATCTCCAACTTTAGGCTCTTCGTTGGTTGACTCTTGAATCTTATCAAGAGCAATCTGGCTCCCACTAGCTCTTTTGGAAATCAGCTCCCTCTCTTGGAAGACTGCTCTTCGAGCAACATACACTTTGTTCTCAAAAGGATTGTTGAACAATTATCCAAAATTCTTGATGGGTTCTCCAACGAGATAACACATCTCTATTCAAGGTCCTAGATTGTCGAGCGCTTCAAGACGAGCGTAAGCCTCATAATCGTAGACTTCCATATATGGCAGTGAGGATAGAATCCCACTTCACATATCATAGAGTGTTTCAAGAACCTACTTAGTTGGTACAAGACCAAAGGACTTC